TTTCATCCCTTAAACCACAAGCCACCGAGAGCAATGATGTCACAAACGCAAATCAGATTGGCAGGTATCTAACGTTAGCTTACATCTTTTTTGACATTGTTTACTATTGCTATAATAGAATGCCATCGGAGTTTAACTCTTTAATTAATTTTAAAATACAACTAAATTAATTTTAAATACAATTTATATACGAGACCAAATGGTTAAAATAAGAAAAGAAATCAAGTATGCTGCTGAATGGTTTTAAATATAATGCTTTGTGACTGTTAAAATTTCAAACTTTGCTTTTTGAAAAAATTAATAAAATGACAAATATTATTAATTATAAATGTTTTAAGAAAAAATATTATAATTAATTCATGTATTAAAATTGTTTTGAGCGTGTTTTACAAAGACTTGATATAAAAGCTTGTAATCTATGATTATATTAACCAATTGAATAGTACTAGGTTTTATAATATATAAATGTATTGAAATTCAGCAATAAAATTTTTTATGAAATTTGAAATGGTTTAATGACCATTACATTCTTTAACCTGTGTTATCTCAGTTTACATTTTTTTTCGATAAACCCTTTTACCTAAAGATTCTAAGACTTGTATAGATGTGGACTAAATTATTTAATATTTTTACCGATTACTTAAAATTTATATGTTTTATAGAAACAGGGATGGGCTTTGCAAGTGAAAATGTGATAAAGATCATATTTATTTCAAAGTTTTTACATAAGAATGTGTTTTTATTTTTTTTTTATCAGAAACTAGTAGTTTATTAATTGCAAAATCGATCCCATCCAAAAAACTTTTTTCAGCTTAAAATCATTTTGTCTCACAATACCATTTAATGATATTCATAAAAAGCAGCTGCAAGTTCTTAAATAAAAAATAATTCAAAAGGTACAGTCCCCTGGTCACGCTGAAGCCGATATGTGCATCTTTAGTTTTAATTTGAACAGTACTTCTGGAATACACAGCATCAGATAACCTTGTCTGTACGTGTTTCCCATTTCTGTATTTGTTTCCGTAGTATTTCTGGAATACCCAGCATCAGATAACCTTGTCTGTAGGTGTTTCCCATTTCTGTATTTGTTTCCGTATTTCATACGGTTATGTGTAATTTTTTTGTATGATATCACATCCCCAGATATCTACCAACACGAATGTTTCACTGAGAGTTCAGAGAGCAGTCAGTTGCACATCGGCCATGTTGTTTGTAAAAAATTAAGTATGCGCAATCACGCAGTGCAGTATGGGAAATCTCCCCATTTGCCCTGCTCCCGAGAAGTAGGAATATTCTAACCAACTCTACATCCAATAATGCTTGTTTCCCATGTGAATGGGACACGTTGGAAGAACCAGTTTTCGCTACTAGTCGAATCTGCTCTTGCGAATGGGGCTATAGAGATTGCATCGAGTGAGAAACTGCCTAGCACCAGCACTGTGTATGATGCATTGAGACATTAAAGATGAATCTTTTAAATTACCAGTTTCCAACTTCTATATTAATAGAAAATTCCTTTTGGTAAATGTCTGTCCATACCAAAAATCATTGAAAAATTCTCAAATCTACAAATTAAAAATTTTGTATAAAAATTCATCTTAAAATTGTCAAAATGTTGATAAGTCACCAAATTTAGAGCCACTTAAAAATTAAAAAAGTTTACATTAAAATAAAAAAAAATTTACATCTCCAAAACAGAAAAGTTGTTCATGAGCTTTTCATTAGCAAAAAATGAATAATTTCAAAAGGCTTTATGTTTTACTTCTTGCCCAGAAACTTGAGTTAATGCACATTTTATATTAGAAGTAGGAATAAATTCAAATGATAATCCATTAAATATATATTTGTCAGTGAATCACAAAAAAAAATATGCCTTCAAAGATCTAATTCACCCTCAAAATGGCAGTCATGAAAACAGGATTAAAATTAAGGTCCCTCTGCAGATTTTGGGCAAAACTAAGGACTTTTAATGATCGTATGAACTCTGTAAAAGCCTTAAATTTAATTTTACATTAAATTAATTAAAGTAAGTATTTTTATAAGCAAGTAAAATCAATTTTATGTTACATTATTTCAATAATATACATTTGAAGAAAATTTTATAAGTATATTTTCATACCATAAGTATGAGAAAATAAATATGTTTTTAATACCCTAAGCGAATAGCCTCAAACTTAAATTTCAAGTGGACTAAACCCATACTCTGAAAAGAGCTGATAAGCTAAAATTTTTAGTAAAAGGAGTGTGAATTGGTAATGTATGTGTGCATTTTTGTGTATACATATATCTTACATCGTATATACCTTTAATGTATGGACATTATTGCTTCATAACCAGATGTCATTTGCAATGCATGTGTGGTGTGCTGTGTTACATGTAGTTTATATGCTTTGAAATCATACTTTTTAAGCTTTACTTGCCTCGAACATTGTTTTGAAATCATATTTTTAAAGTTTTATCTGCCTCGAACATGGTTAAAATGAAAATTTTTTTCAATAATATACAGTTGCATATTCTATGGTTTTTTCCTGCTTAATTTTTTACTTCTCAAACTTATAATTTTTTTCTTTGTCTCCCTACCTAAAATTATGCTAATCTTTCTTTTGGTTAAATTCCGTTTTCAGTTTATAAAATTTTGCAACAATATATGGTATTTCCTATACACTATTCAGGTCTTTTCCCATACACTGCTTTTAATTATTTTGTCCAACCATAAATGCTTATTTCTCTAATACTTTGATGTTCTTCCATTCACACTAACCTGTGCTCAGAAAAGAAATGTAGAAACAAAGAACCAAAGTATTAGTATGATTTAATTATATTTTTAATTTTAAAACACTTAACTGTTTTTTTTTTATTGTTAATTTGAAATTTTTAGATCAAGTTAATTTTTAAATTATTTTTCAGGAAATGCTGGTCACTTTTTGAGGCAGTCTTCTTAGAGAGATGATCACTGTGAGTGAAATATATTCACTGTTGATTTTATGATATATAGTTCCATATGATTTTACTTAATACATAAATAAAGGCTGCATTGGTAATTATTAATTCATTAAATTTCGAAAATAGCTTTAAAAATACAATTGTCGATGTAATACAACAGCTATTCTGACTCATTTAAGATCTATATATTTTTTGCATTGATACTTTCATACAAATTAATTATATTAAGTAAAAAATTCTTAATTATTCATTTGGCAGACAAATCTCAGCATTTTATTTGCAACTAAATTAATATTTCAAAGATTTTTCTAAAAATCCTCTATATATTTTTCTGATTCTTTGAATATTTTTAATATGTAATTTAAAATAATTTTACAATTTTCTTACTATTACAGTCAAAAGTCGTTAATTCGGACACCCATAATTCGGAATGATCTATAATCCGGACCTCAAAGCTACAAACTTTCTGTGACGCATGCGTATAAGACCTTTATGGCTGCGAATATGCGTGTGCGAAAAATACGTTTACGAATGCGCGTTTAATGTATAATGGACGGTATAAGCTAAGCTAAAATTATCTAATTCTGTTAATGTTGCAGATTGCGTTGTTCCTTAATCTTCGAATTGGATTCGGCTTATTATTTTTTGCAGACTGTTAGAGCAATTTTATAAAAGTAAGCTTGAACTTTCGATTATATCAAATAGAATTACATATATATATTTACTAATATGTAAAGGATCTACAAAGCGAAAGTATGTTTCGAAGTCCATTAAACAAAAAGTGGAATTGCTGCAAAAAATGGATAAAGGCATAGCCTTTGTTTATCTAAACTTTGTTTATCTTTAACGCCGCGGCGCGCAATGAATTGAAAGTTTATCTGTCAGAACTATCCTTATCTTCAGGGCAGATGTTTTTATTTTATTTGGCTTATAATTCCTTACTAAATGTAGTATTTCATCTCAATGTACTCAGTCTTTGATATGATTTAAATCAAATTCCTCGTCATATTAATTCGCTAAATTCGCTTCCGATAGCGAAGGAAGTAACAGAGGTTATTGAAAACGAAAAAATTTTGATTGACAAATTAGTCGGTATTCTCGACACAGCAATTATAGGACTTGAACAGCGGAACTTTGTAACTGAACAAGAAATCATGTGTTTATAGAATTAAAGAGAATGTATTATCACATAAAACAAGAAGCAACTTAAATAACTTACATTGAAAGAAATGTTTAATAAAGTAAACAAATAAATATTAAGCTTTTTCTTTTTGTAAATTTTGATACCATTTAGATCATAATTGTTCTTTATTTCATAAATTATGGTTTCATATTTTTAATTTTATAATTTCTGCATGCCATCTTACCAGATTTAAACTGATGATCTATAATCCGGAAAAATCGATAATCCGGAATCGAAGTCTCGACGAGTCCGGATTAATGACTTTTGACTGTATAATGTTTTGTTTTAAAACAATATGTTTAAAATATAAAATTAATAACCAAAGTTTTAAAATTCTGAAAGATTTTTACGTGTGATCATTCACAACAGAAACTAAAAAAATCAGGGTTTAACCCATTGTAAGTTTGCCAAGTGAAATACTTTTTGCACCAACTTGAAAACCAGCATTGAGTTTTACACATAAATCTCTCAGAAATAGCTCATATAATTTTGTATTTATGCATAATGCAACACAGAATCAAATTATGGAAAAAGTAGGAAGTTAAATTTCTTGGTAAAACTATGCATGTTACAGCAATGGTATATTACAAATCAACTACATATTCTACATCACACTTTCGATGCATGAAAACTGCAATTTAAAGTTAGTCAGTAGGCCAACTAAAACAAAAGATATTGAATTGTCCCTTTTTTTTTTTTTACTATACATAAGTAAAATTCTTGTAATATTGTTATTAGAAATTTAAAATAGTAAAAATTATAAAAGTATACATAATTTATGGATCAAAATTGCACAATATAACATATATAAAATTAAAATTGATTACATCTACTGAAACATACGCAAAATCTAAATAATTAAAGAATAAATCATTAGTTCTTTATTTATTTATTTATTTTTTGTCAGTATAAAAACAACTTTTTTTAACATAGAGTGTATAGTTTTTAAAAAGTATATAATGTATGTCCACATACAAAAAAAAAGTTCATTAAACACAAACATATCATCAAAAACAAGTTATTAAAGTAGACGTAACAGATCCAAGAGTGCAAATCATTTGTTCTGTTATGAAGAACGCTATAATTCAGAATGATGAAGTGAAGAACAATAACCTGAAATTGAAAAAGTTATAGTTTAGATGAAAAAGAAAATTTGTTAACAATAATAAATAAACTTTTATGTAACTGTTTTCAATATAGCTTCAATCTTGAAAACAAATTCTACATCTCACCCTATAACTCACATATAAAATTTAATGTAAATTTAGAATATATTTCTCACCTGAAGCATTAATGCAAAGTCTTTCAGTAGTTTCATCATCAAAAGGCTGTAATGAAGACTTAAATATGCTGATAATATCATCTTCAAAATCTTCAATAAAGCTCTCACACTAAAAAGAAAATGATTCAGTTAACTAACAACATGTTAAAACAACTTAATTCCACTTTACACATTTTTATATAGTTTTCATTAGCTCATTTTACTATACACCACACCACAAAAGTTTTACTATATACTGCACCACAAATTTTCTTTAAAAAATTACTTTAATGATTAATACCTTTCTTTCCTACAGATTTTAAAAGCATATTTTATAAATTAGTCAAAAAATCTATTTCAAAACAAACAAATTTCAATTTTCATATTGTAGAGAAAAATTATAATTATTATCATTATTAGTGACAAATTATAATTATTATATTATGGTGACAAATTATTAAACCAAAAATGCTCAGAACAGGTTTTTAAATCTTCCAAATCCATTTTTCAATACACAACTAAATTTAAGTCAAATTACAGAAAAAATTTGCTGAAAACATTTAAACATGCAATGATTCACAGTTTCTTATATAATTTTAAAAAGAAAATGCTGTAAAGAATGATTAATTTTGAAAATCAAGTTCATTAACATCTTTGCCTTAATATTATTATCTGCAGATAGAATACCATACAGCTGAAAGGTAGCATACTTTTATGAATGCAAGATTGCACAAATATTTGCATATGCTAAAAACGTTTTTAAAGAAAATTTGTTTCATTTGTAATTCCTTTTCTATTTGTGTATTATACATCTGAAACTAATGAACATTAACATTAATCAGTCAACAATCAATAATGCAAATTATGCAGGACACATCTGCTTGAAAACTAGTTCCTATGCAGAATAAATCTGCCACAGAACAGGCCTGCTATCAAGCACACACACACACAACACAAAAAAAAAAAAAAAAAAAAAAAAAAAAAAAAAAAGTAAAATCTTTGAAAATTAGTCCAAAGGGGCGTTTTTTTAACATTATTTATTAAATACACGTTCTTCACACTTAAACCATAAAATTCAATCTAACAGCAAAAGTCTAGATCTTTACTAAGCAAACTGATGAAAATTCAAATAAATTTTGTGGCTCTAACAAATGTAAAAATATCAAGTTTAATTTGTCCAGAAAAGGAAATTTCTAATTAAAAAAGATGGAAGAAAATATTAATGCACTTGCTGTTAAAAAGTAATAAAATGATCTCGTACTTTTTACGATTTTACTGGTTATGTCATAATAAAATGTAATTTCCACATCAAGCATACAATGAACAGACATAAAATGAAGATGATTTTACTGGCCATGTCATAATAAAATGAAATTTCCATGTCAAGCATACAATGGTGTGGTGTGGTGTATTTAATTATGGCAAAGCACACTAGGGCTATCTGCCTAAGGGGAGGGATGCCTTCATGGAGGACTTTCTAAGGGAAACTGGCTCGTATACACGTTACACATGGGGAAAACCACAAAAACGCCCATGCAGCCAGCCCGTTCGCGGGATTCGAACCTCAGACCGAACTACCAGTGTTCAGCGACTTTACCGCTCGGCCGCTGGTGGGCCCCAAGCATACAATGAATAGAGATCAAATGAAAAAGTATCAGGTGACAGGAATATATTATATTCAAATTACGAAGTTACCTTATTCAAATTAAGGAGAAATGATATGAAAATCACAGGAAAAAAAAAGAGAAACGTAAAACAAATGAAGCTAAAAAGAAAAATAATGTCCATAAATCCTATATGCTTTGATAATACAGACCACTCAAAAGCCAAGAATTGGCATTTTTAACAGCAATCCTTCATATCAGAAGGACACTTAAGAAAGGATTTAAAACTTAGATGGACCTTTAAAAACTTAGGTGCAAACTTCCTTATACATAAAAACATATTTTGCAGAATTATTGATGGCAATAATTCACTAAAATGTCTTGAACCTGAATAATGATTTGCCTGTTTACAAATGTTTTACAATTTTGAAAATTTAAACACACAACTTTTAAATTATAAGGCAACTATCATATATCAGATTAAACTAGCAATGTCATATTCCTATTTATCTTATGAAATCTAGTACTTATTTTATGAAAGAAATCAAGTACTTATTTTATGAAAGACAGAATGAAAGCATTTAAAAATACAGCAAAATTAAAAATATGGTTCCATTATAATATGACACTTCAATCAGGCTTAAATAATCAAACATGTTCTACCAAATTATGGAAAATTTTTCACACCAACTCAAATAATATTACGATGTCCTAATTTAAAGAACATGCATAATAAATATACAGTAACGAAGGAAGAAATGGGTGGGACACAAAAATTTTACTTTTGATTATACATGTAGCAGCTCACTAACCGGACAGCTCTACCCAAATTTTGGAGAACACTGAGGGTAATTCATCATTCTTCCACCCTTCTTTCTCTTACTGTCAAGTTACTCAACAGGACTTTCAGCTTGTCTGCCAGTATTCTAAGTGTCCCTATGCTACACTTAAAAAATATCCATGCTTTCTCAAGGATTCAAACCAGGGCGTCTGATACAGTGGCTACGATAGTTAACCACAAGGCCTATCAGGACAGATATAAAATAACAAAACATATCCTGAACTATAGGTTATTAGTCAAGTTCCCTGCACAGCAGGTACCTAGAACATCAAACCTGAAACAATGTGATCTTTGGCTTTGAGAATAACTTAACTCTAAAATACGTTCAGATTAGGAAAAAAAAAAAAAAATTGCTTCTAAACCAGTAAACTTCAGGATGCAATATATATATTGATATACATAGAGAGATACAAAAAGTAAGAAATTTAAAACATATTTTACATAAAGACACAAAAAAGTGAAATTTAATACCAATAAATTTCAAAATATCCTGTAAATATACAAAATAAGAATGAAAGAAACATGAAATTAAAACCTAAAAATATATATACCATATATAAATACAGTACAAAGTCTGAGAATCGGACTCGTTGGGACTTTTGACAATTCTGGATTTGACATTTTTCCAGATATTACATCATCGATTTAAATCTAGTAAGATGGTATGGAGAAATTAAAAAGTTAAAAATATGAAATCATGATTTATGAAACAATGAGCCTTTATGTTCCAAAGGATATCTAAATTTACAAAAAAAAAAAAAAAAAGCTTGATATTTATTTGTTTACTTTACTAAACATTTCTTTCAATGCAAGTTGTTCAAGTTGCTTCATTTTTTGTGCTAATACTTTCACTTTAATTCTATAAACAGCCATAATTTCTTGTTCATTTACAAAGGTCCACTGTTCAAGTCCTTAATTGCTGTGTCTAGAATTCCGACAAACTTGTCAATCAAAATGTTTTCATTTTCAACAACCTCTCTGTCACTTTCTTCACTATCAGTAGTGGTATTTTCTGGATCTAGAACCATACTACAGATTTCGGAGTCCATTAATGGAATGAAGATTGGGGCATTGTCATTGCAATGAAAAACTCTGTTATATCAATCATCTTCATTTATTACTCCTTCTCCATATTTCCTTACAAAATCCATTAACTGTAAAATTTTACCTTTGGTTTGCAATATCTGAAATCCTTTCAGTTCGCAGCTATCATCTTCATCAGATGGTAGCCAACCATAAATTATGGCAAGCATTTTTTAAAGTATCTGAAGACACACCCTTCCCCGATTTTGTGATGCTCCAAACAGCAGATTTTATGCTAAAATATTTCAAAAACTCTTCAATAGTTCAAGAACTTGAACATGGATTTTAAAAATGCTACTTTACATTTGCATTTCAGCATGCACACTATTCTGATATCCATAGGCTTAATGATGGACGTACAGTTCAAAGGAAAGAATAATATGGATACACTATCTTTCACAAAAACTTAAAGTGAAGTATGAGCCAAACAGTCATCTAAAATTAGGACAACTTTTGCATCATCAGGTAAACCAACTGAATAAATACAAATGTTGCAGAGCCTCGCATATAAAATGATTTTCAAACCAATCAGTCATTAACGTTTGTGTCATACATGCTCTTTTATTCTTTGCGTGATAACGGGAAAAATCAATACTTCTTTAAATGCTCAAGGTTATGTATTTTTTCCGATTACGAGAAGTTCGCATTTGTACGTCCCTGCAGCATTTGCACATGCTAAAATTGTTAGTCTCGCTTTGGAATCTTTGAAACCAGTTGGAGCCTTTTCTGTAGAGGTTGCCAAGATATTTTGCAGTACATATTACCAGAAAAGACCAGGTTCATCAGTGTTGTGAATTTGTCCTGGAGATAACGTTTCACTAGTAATGAGTTCAATGAATTCATCAGCAAATAGTTCAGCAGCTTTAGTATCAACTGAAGCTTCTTCACTTTAAATTTTGTATTGCATTATACCATAGCAAATTTTTAAATTTTTGGTTAACCAACCTGTCAAATATGTGCATTCAGTTTTTAAGCTCCTTTCTTCAGAAAATATTTTGGCTTAAGACATTAGCATTGGACCGATTAATGGCATGCCCTTGCTGCGATGTTGTCTGACCCATTCAATCATCACTTTGTCATGATTGTCACTTTTAGCACAACGAACAATTTTCTGTTAATTCATTGCGAGTGGGTTGTTGAAATCCACAAAAAATTCAAACAGTTCCATTTTCTTAGGTCACATACCGTTGACTTTCCATTTCCATACTTATTGCATAATTTTGAGATGGATATGCTTTTATCAATTTTTTTCAGCAATCCCACTTTTTGTTTGATGAACATCGAAACATGCTTTTGCTTTGTAAACTTTTGCAGTTCCAGAATTTGAAACGTTTGCGACATAATCAAAAGTTCAAGCTTTAATTTTCAGAAAATTGCTGCAATAAGAACAGATTGCAAAAAATAATAAGCTGGATTAAATTAGAAGATTAAGGAACAGCACAATCTGCTATATTAACTGAAATTCCTTAAAATCAGTAAAGTATAATTTTAGGCTAACTTAATAGTGTCCCCTATACATTGCTGGCTATGTATCATGAGATTGGCGATGAAAGGCAAGTTGTTCCGCTAAATTTTGTCTTGCTTCTATCGCATACTGAGGCA